AGTTATTTTACCGTCTTTTTTGTAGCTGGTTGTTGTGGCTGAGTTTTTTTCGGTGAAGGCAGACCAGTTGGCAGAGTTGCCTCAATGGAGAAGAAAAAGAGGGGGAGGAGGTGCCGGGGGGTGAGAAAACTCAGAGGGGAGGGGGGTTGCTGGGAGCCACAGCCTTTGTGATGAGTTATCATGAAATCGTAATGAGAGACGGTCCATTCGGTTGGCCTTGGGATTGTGCCACGTGTTACTTTACTTTACAGTCAAACCTCAATAAGTATCACTCTTCTGATGTCCAATTATGCAGTTTTGGAGCAAGAAACTCGAGTTAGGGTTTAAATATTAGAAGTTACCTATCTACAATATTTTTTCAGAACCATTATCTCAATTTCCAATTTCTTAAAGAATCATTATTCCTAATAAATAGATATATAACTTTAATAAACAATTGTATTTTAGTTGGTGACAGTGGGTGTTCGATTCGGTAGTTTCCCTGTACTTCGTGAATATTTGAATTGGTGAGGAGAAAATGCAGTGGAAAACATTTGAGAAAATCGCCGGGGCCCAAAAACAATTTCAAAGCCGACCCGTCGCAGGCCAAAAACTAATAAACCAAACAAAAAGCGGCAACAACGAATTCGTTAAAAACAGCAAATGAGGCAAACAACTCTCCGAATCGGAAAGTCGGAGAAAAGCCAGTTGGGAAAAGCCAGTGGAAATGCAGGCGGCCCGACGCGAAGTGGTTTTTTATGGCGCATGCGCAGCAGCTCGAGTTCAATCTCTATAAAAGGGTCGGCTGCCAACAGAGCGGAGCTTTGTATCCGCCTGGCCATAAAAACATACGAAATAAGGCAGAAGACAGAAAATAAAGCAGACGAGTTCGAGTTCCTCTCATCGCGCGATCTCCCGATTTCCCAGTCTCCAGTCTAGAGTCTCCGGAGAGAGATGCATCGTTCATTGACTCTTCTCCCGAAGAGAACCCGCGATCGCCGCGGTGGTTTGGAACTCTGCTAGACCTAATTGAATTAAATTCCGTCAACGGAAATGCTTAGTTTACGATACGTAAGCTGTAGTTGAAGGCAATGAGTCCACATACGCGTCCAAGCGCAGCTGCGGTCAAAATAGTAGTTTATCAAATCTATAATCAAAAGTACTACCCAGTTAATCTTAATTTTAAATAGTTTTAGCTGCAAGTATGCTCTATCTGGCCTTTTTTTGCCATAAACATAACCATATTTTCATGCAAGTAACACTAGATATTTGACCTTAACTGTACAAGAGTGTACATTTCGCATTCTATCCTATATAGTTGGTGCCCCAGTTGGCCCCGTCTTAATTGTTTTAATTCCGAGAAATGCATACAAAGTGGCATTTAATTAAAATGAATTTTACATCGCCAGTTGAAGCTGAATCCGTATCTGCCCGCGATGCATTATGCATTTCCATGACGCCCAGGGACTTAATAAAGTTTTCATCGTGCTCCTGAACCTGAATCTACAAAAAAAGGGAAACAGCTTCTTCAGCGTCAAGGGCTGACAAAGACCGCATAATTGTCCGGACTTGATTGAATTTCAAGGTTAATTAGCGGCAAAGAGGGGGAAAACTTTGTTGTACCAAGGATTGGTAAGAACTTCTTGGTCAACTTTGCTCGAGCAGCTTAAGCTGATTACCGACGGTTGGTTGGCGGGTTGTCAGCTGTTAGCTGGAGATTTTCTCTTGGCCGGAACACAAAAAGGGATTAGACAGAGTGGCCATTAGTCGATGGCCCATCAAGAGGTCTAATGGGCACGGAACATGGTGTTATCTCCAAGGATTCTTAAGGAGGAAACCGAGTAAATAAATTACAAAATCAGGAGTTGAAACCCCTACAAAATAACAAGTTTAGTTCCATGAAGCTCTAGGATTTTTAAAGATTTTAGGACTTATGTTAAAGATCAAGCCATTGATAGATTCTTTAAATTCTGTTATAAAAAGCAGTTGGTTTGTTGAATATTTCTCGAATGTATCATCATTAGTTACATCCTCGTCCTGCCTTCCGCATTGAACTTCCTTCCCCTTTTTTGCAAACTTGCCCCAGTTCTGTTTGCTTGCCAACCCAAACTTCCTGCCCCATTTCTAATCGCCACCATATCCAAATAACTATAGATATCCCCCCAAACACAAACAAATACTGGCATTCCGATACAGAATTTATGTGCCACAATTTCCTCTATACCCAGCTGCTTTTTGTGCATTTGCATGGCATATAAACCCAACCCCAGTCCGCGTGATAAGATAAGCCAGCCCAACAATTTCCAAATGTGAAATGTGAAAAGCATTTACGGATTGTGGCCAAATTGTGAAATTGATTTTGAATTTGTTCTGCAGAAAATACTCCTCATGACTCACTTACTATTTCCAGATCATTAAAGAAAATCGTTAAAAGCCTTATAAAAATCGTTTTCGCATATTGCCTAAATTGAGAAATTGGTTTTATTGAGTATGTTTCGGGAAATGCAATAAAAGTCGGTCGCTCATAAATGTTTCCATTCAAAATATTTCCCTGAGGTCGGAGAATTCATTTACCATTTCGAGATCATTAAGGAAAACGCTTGAACAAAGCCGGCACTTCAGCAGCCCGGAAAAACAATGGAATCCTTTAAAAGGTGACACTGGATTTTCACGCTGTTACCTCTCCACCTTCGCCTCCTAGTCCCATTTTCATTTTCATTCCCATTCCGTTTTGTTTTTCGGGCAAATGTCAAGAGGTTCCTTTTTTCTTGGGTGTTTCCCTGGTATTGCCGGTCGTAAAATCTTTCCGGGACCAATTCTCTTAATTACCTAAGCACAGGTAGATATCACAGGATGCTCTGAAGCAGCTATCTCTCTCTTTTTTATTGGTGCCATCTCTTTCTATCGCTTGACGTCATAGTTGAGAAGCCACCTTATGTTATGCTAATTTTTGGCCTTTCAAGTTATATTTTTCTTTCGAATTGAAATCAGTAAACAAAGAAAAGTTAAAAAAGAGGGGGGATGAGTTTGGAAAGCCGGTCCATTTGTTGGCGCTCTATTGTCAATTTGCGATATTAGCAGAAAGACACACCAAAAACCTTTGAATGGAAAAGAAGAACGTGCGTAGAGCTTTTTCAGGGGGTAAGGAAGCAAAATATATGTGTATATAGTATCCATACAATCACAATTCTGGTTGACTTGTAAGCGAGCGGAAATTGAAGTGATAAAAATAAAAACGAAGCCATAGTCAGACAAGTCAGATAATTATGTATATACTTCGACTATATGCACAGATATATAGCCAAGCATATATGCACATAAATAAGCATATGTATAGGAGCATATATGGCAATTTGTGTGGCTTTGAGTCATGGGAGTCGAGCCGCGAGTCTCTAAAAGCAATTGTGACATTTTTCTGAATGACACAAATCTATGGGAACACAACAAAAATGTGGAGCCAACAATAGTGGGAAGACCTCAAAAGCTTCGACAGAACTGATGTTTATTTATGACTTCCTTAATCTCCGAACGTGTTTGTAAAATACCAAACGATTTTTAAAACACATTTATATTTAAATCGCCTTTTAATTGATATGGGGCAATCAAGGAGGGGCATTGTGTTTGTAAATAAAATGCATAATTGGAAAGGAATGCAGGGTATATTGAAATATATCCCCCGATATGGTTGGCTTGATATTTTGTGCAAGTTTTAATATTGATTGCCTGTAATTGCGTTAAAGGCAAACAATAAAACCATTCAGTGCGATAAATTTGGCTTGCATTTATATACATGAGGGTCTATAGGCACTTAACGTTATGTATTAAATGGTTAGGGTTTTTAAACCAATGAGTTAAAAAGAGATATAACACTTAGTAAAATGTATTTCACTTAAGTGATCCATTAAAATATTTGTATTTAAAGGCACAAACAATATTTTCCATCAATCAAAATCGTGTCAACCGAAAACAAGTTTAAGAAGGTGAAATCTATTCCTGGTACACGTCTATAATACGAATACAAAACAAGATCAGCCAGACTATATTTAAATCAAATCTGGCGCTAGTGTTATCAGCACTACGGATTACATTATTCAGTGCTCTTTTTAGCATTTCTCATTTTGCCCCGCCCCCAACCTACTGTTCCACAAAAAAAAGAGAAAATAATAACAAATAAGTCCACGCAGATGTTTATTTATGGCCAGGCTGTGCTTGCCTGCATTAATTATATTCTTTCGACTTTGTTTTGTTTTGGTTTCTTCTTGGTTTCGGGCTAAAAATGCCGCAAACAAAATTGGGGAAGTATAAATAAAATATTATATTTTTTTAGGCCTAGGATAGGAATGTTCGCTACTGATTTATGGGTCGTGCTGAGAAGTGTCAGGTATTTTGAGAATCTAATACCATAACAATGATCATGTTGATCAATATTGAATTCTTTTTACGACTCAGGTATGCACCTTTTAAACAAATGAAAATTTCCAACTAAAAGTTAGTTGGACTATGGATTCTTATAAACAATAATTCTATTTTATGGCATGTATGTACTTATATAGAAACAAAATCAGCAACATCAAAATTTTTACGTTAGTGACCAATATTAAAATCAAAAAATAAGATTAGTTTAGGAAAGTAGTGAGAATGTGTCGTTGAAACGACTTAAATGTTTCTATTTTTGAAAGTACTTATCTGAGAAACTGTGAATTTGGATAATAATTGTGGTGAGGTTTGAATCAATCAAAATGTAGCACTACTTAAAAAATATGAAAACTAATCTGATTTTATTAAAAAAAAACTATTTAATATTATATTTAGTCGCCTTTCACTGAGTTACGTATTTTTTAGAAAAATCGTTGGAAAATTTGTATTGAACTGCGGTAACTGTGATCAAATGTAAGGTAAGTTGTCGGCTTTGTCTTGGAATATCGGTTTGAATGCTTATAGGCATGATTTTCGGTGAAGCAACTCCCATTTTATCTTTAAAAATAGTTTGAGGTACCCCCAAATTTTCTTGGATGACTCACCTCGCAGGGTAACCACTCGGCAGCCGTCCTGCTTGAGGCGACGGTGCAGGATGGTGATGATGGAGTCCATGGCGACGGTGAAGGTTCCGGGACCGGTGATCTCCTGGTTCTGCCCGCCCACGCCCTCGCCGTTGTACAGGACGAACCAGCAGAGCTTGTAGCCCGTCTGGATGCGCTCCTTCAGCTCGGGCGACTTGATCGTGGAGGCCAGGTCGATCTTCCCGAGGGCCAGGCGCCGCAGGACGATGCTGGGGATGCAGAGGTTCACGGCCCCGCGGATGTGCGACTCACTGTACTCGTGGGAGCCCCGGCAGTCCAGCAGAATCAGCTCCTTGGCGTCCAGGGACCTCAGCTGCGACTGCAGCCACTCCTTGTTGCAACTCTCCAGCTCCGTTTCTGGCATTTTGAAGAATTCCCAAAACCACGCGAAGATTGGAAGATTGGAAGATTCGAAGCACAACTTTTCCCGTTTTCCTCTTCGCTCCGCTTTATTCGTTACTTTTATTTTTTGGTTACAACAAAGTTTACATCATCTTTCTTCTTCTGCTTTGCGCTGCTCCTCTTCTTCTTTCCTTGCCCTGCGCTGGTATTTGTATTTGTTGCTGTTGCACACACACACGCTCGCAGGCTAAAATCTTTGAAATCAAAGTGGAATTTTCTCGTTTTTCCTCGGTTTGTGGAAACTGTAACTTGCACTGTTTTGGTTTTTTGGCTTTCCGATTTTCTCGCTTGCCGATTTCTGTTTCTTTGCACTCCGAAATTCGTTTCTTTTTGCTTTTTGTTGTATGTACACACGCACACAGAGAGCGCGCCAAATCACAACCGTGTGTATGTTTCGCGTGTGTGTGAGTGGTTTTGTATTTTTTGTAGGTGTGCTTCACTAAAACAACAACAGCCGTTCCGAGTCGAATGAAAAAAACGTGCGGTGAACGGAGAGAGAAACCTGTCGCCGAGTAATTAAAACTTCCGAAAATCGCTGAATATTTGCCCAAACAAATAGGTTTTCGTTGGGTCACTACTTTGTGCCTATCAAATATCCATATTTTGTGTTGATGTTTTTTTCCTGAATGGTAAGCGAACTCACAAAACTCTCAAGCAGCGCGGGTGAAATATTTATCAACGCGCTTCGCGGGTTGCTTAAATAGCCTCGGTGCTCTCCAAACACACTTGCACTTGCTCTCCCGCGCTCTCTCGGCCTCTCCGGCTCTCCAATTCTTCGTCGGAATTCGAAGAGCGAAGGGGCCCCACCAGAACAGTAACTTCGTTTAATGCTAAAAGTATATTGTAAAAGTCGTGTTTTAAAGATACATCGAATATGTATTTGTTTATATCTTTTCAAAAATATAGAGGTGGGCATTTTAATTCCGAAACAAGTACACATACACATTCATAGGTAGAACGCACCCGCACACAGGTACACGAAAGAGAAGCAGAGAGGAGAGCACAATGGTCTCTCCAACTCTCCAAAAAGGTGAGCAAGAGCAAGTGCACTGAGCACTGAAGACCCACTGGAAAATTTGATTTCCTGTCAGAGCGGTGAAGAAAAGGAGGCGCTCAATTATTTTTGAAAACATTTATTCTATTTCTTAAAATTAAATTGAAAATATAAGAAAAGTGAGAATGTGTTTTAAATAAAATTAAATTTAATATTTCTTTCTAATATTTTTTGACCATCTGAGTTTGATTATCTAATTGTGATTTATTTTAATTTTTAATTTGTCTACTTTAATTTTTTCACTTTAGAAAGCCCACAGATGTAGGCTTTGTATTTTATTTGTAGTCCACGAGTATTAAAAACCCTTGCCTACTTTTTGGCGTTTTGTTGCTCATTTGGTTTTCAAATACTAATTGTTAAAAATATTAATTTATATGTGTACGTAATATTTGTATGACATAGACATGATCCGAAGAATCGAATATAAAACAAAATTCGGTTAAAATCATAATGGAATATTAATTTATTATAACAAAAATATATATTTTTTAAATATTTTTTTATTAGTAATTTATGGAAAGCAAATCATGAATTTATAAATTGACTAATTCTGCAATTAATTATAAGTTAAATTAGTCCAAGCAATTATACAAATACAGCCTTCTTTGATTGGGCGACATTATTTTAAACCTTTAATTTATTTAAATTGGGATGATTGAGATATACGCTCATGGCGTATTTAAAAAGAATTAAGCAAATTAAAAAAGAACTCTAAGAAAATCTCTTAATCATTTTTTATGATAAAAATAAAATATAAAATTAAAAAACATAATGTGTTTCGATATTTTTATGTTATTTGGTGTTGCACTTATACCCTATAAATACGTTATTCCCAACTGGGATCGCATTTCGAATTTCTCACCTGCCTTTTACCAACTCTCTACCGCTCTCTCTCTCTCTCTCTCTCTCTCTCTCTCTCTCTCTCTCTCTTTGGTGCTTTGACTATTTCTCCACGCTGCATACGCTCACAAAGTTTTGTGTAAAGTTCATTGATATTTTTGTGCAGTGGTGTGCGTGCGGCAAGTAAAATGCGTGTGTTCGTGTTGATTCATTGAATTCGCCAGCCAAACTAGCTCTCGCTCTCTCACTACCCCCCCAACCCCCCACTCCCTCTCCCGCTTGCTCCATCTTCATGATTACTCTCTTTTTTGCGAGAGCGCAGTTTATATTTCACTCCACATGAATGCAAAACTTAATGGGCCACTAATTTATAAAGATAAGAAATTATGGAAACCAGAAGAAACAGAATCATCAATGAAGTTGCTCTCTTCTCTACAACGAAAGCTCCTGCGAATATTCTCCCCTAAGCTGCCGTTATTTTGGAGACTCCGCAAAATGTTTAATTTTATAACCATGACCCTGATATTTACACCCAAAAAGAAGGACCTCACACAAGGATATTCGAATGTATATGCATACACATACAGAAATCGCATGGAAGGACAATTTCAAGGATATGCGGCGCGTGCAAAAATTTCTCCACAAACAACAAAACTCTCTGCTGCGCCTGCGTTGCAACAGCTTTATATACAAACATATACCCAATATACCGCTAGGTAAGGCCCAGCACAACGTGCTCTTATATACGAAGCAACGACTTTCGAGCAAAATTTTCATGAATGAAAGTCCCACACAGCGGCGAAAACCGCTGGAGAAACAAAGAAAGAAAGCCAGACAGAGACGGAGATAGGCAGGGAAGGAAAGAAATGGCAATACGCAATCTGTGCTCAGCCCACGCACTTTGGCGTTGCCTTGCTCACTTTCGGCTTCTGGCAAGGTTGCGGCTGGGGATGCGGGTCTTGAGATTCAGGCGTCGTAATTCCCCAGGACCCTAGTCCGCTTTTGGCCCTGGCGCGTGGGAGGCTAACAGCTCGTCTGCAGCGGTAATGAAAAAGAAGCACTGAAAGATCCGGAAGCTACTTCATAATATTCCTATCTGAACTTAGGTTTCTTCTAATGTTATCAGTGTTTCAACTTTTATATGAAGTAGTATTTTCATGTTAAATAATAACTAGGTAGATTTTTTCATTAATTTTTTTATCTCTTACCGATACCTTTACCTTTCATTTTGTTATATTTCCTTTGCAGTTTTTACCCTTACCGTGAAAGTACAACAAATATTGAAAAATTTAATCAAACTAAGATTGTGTGGCATTTCACTGGGCGTTAAAAACAAGTATAACTCTGAAAATGAGGTTTATGGCAGTTAAAGTAAAGAATCCGTTCTACACGAATTTCTGAAAAATAAAACAAGGTATTCTAACAAATAGGAAAAACAGGATTTAAAGTTATATGTACCTCTTAAATATGTACCTTTATAAATAAGTCTGCTTATGTATCTATCTAAAATTTTAACTTTCACTGCACCACTTAATATTACTTCGTACAAATTTAAAGATAATTATAATTTTCCTCAGTGTCGTACTCAAGTATGTAGGAATTTCAAGTAAGCACCTGGATAGCTCACTTCAAAAGGCTGCTCAATGGCTCGTCCCTGAGTGTCTTGGTGCTGGCCTTGGCATTGCTAGTATTTCTGCCAGTGTAGAATTCAAGGTCAGTACTTGGGGCTCCATTTTTCGATAGCACAAGTTCAAAGTCTAAATCCAGGCAAAAGGGAATACCCTACCCTTTTCTATAGCTCTATGAATCACTTGACGCATTACCTTTACTATCTGTATCGCAGTGAGTTTCGATTTGAAACTGAAGTATTCAATTAATTTCTTGCACCTCACGATTGATACTTCCAAACAGCACAGGTGACGGCATTTGCTTTGATTATCAGACCACTATAATAATCAATATGAGGATGATGACGACCGCACGAGTGTTCAGATATACTTAGTATATACACTCAGTCAGGAGTCAGGGCCTTTTCCGATTTGGATGACTCGTATCAGAGATAAATTCTAGGAAAACGGGAAGTAAATGGTTCATCGTGATGTGCAATGATTCCAATGGCTTATCAAGCGAATTAATTTACAATTTCATCAGCAATGGCTGCATTACGAAAGTAGTCCTTTAAATATATTATTTTCTCTGCTGGCCTTATTTATAAATTAAGGGTAAGAGTTTAAACATTAAAAAAAAATTGTTGCAAATTAGACTTAGTCCAGAAATGCAAAATACTAAAGACTAACGATCTTATCTTGTTGCATTGAGAAAGTTAACTTTTTCTATACTATTCATTGACTGAAACGATGTCAATGAAAAATGTATACTTATTTTTTCAGCAAAATAACTTTTCTGTAACCCAGTAGTAACCTCCCAACAGAATTCTCCCACACTACTTCTGCATTCTGCTTTACTGACCTAAAACAACTGAAATGGGATTAAGAATTGGCGCGTCCGCTTATCGCCCATTCACATTTCCGTTCCGCCTGATCAGAAATACTTGTCGTACACTCACACGCTTACCCGCACTCGTATTTGGGTATAAAACCAGCCCACATCGATGTCCAGCCCCCAGAGTTCCGTTCCGCGAGATCTCTGTGAATCACTCGCCCATTTGAGCAGCGGATGTCGGTGGGCGCCACGGGTCTCGACAACCGACGATCGACGTGCGTTTGACGTTTGACCAGACCAATAACGCTGATATATCTCACAGCTTCCCTAAATACAAAAATTCTCGCTGTCTTTCCATTCGTATTCTTTGAAATTCAAGGCACTTTGATGACGTTGTTCCAGACAAGTGTTGTTGAAAATTAGTAGCCAGACTGGAAAACAAATAACGAACCATTTGCGTAAAAAAAATGGTTGGTCAGGGCTTTAAAGTTTAAACGGCAGATTAGAATTAGCAATGTATGAATTTATCTGGCTTCCTCTGTGTACATTTTTATAATACACCGTTCAAGCTAGAATACGTGTCGTATACGCAATTATTATACCCGTTACTCGTTGAGTAAAAGGTTATACTAGATTCGTCTGAAAAAAAAATATAAATATATAATCTTGATCAGGATCACTAGCTGAGTCGATCTAGCCTTATCCGTTTGTCTGTCCGTCCGTTGAACGCTAAGATCTAGAAAACCAAAAAAGCTAGAAATTTTGGACTTGGCATGTAGATTCTTGAGCTTCCCACTCTAACCCCCATGACGCTAAAACCTGTCAAGCCCAAATTTTTTAATATTTTTTCAAAATTTAAATGAGACACGCCACATGCCTTGAAACCGAGGTGCGGTGTTACAGGAGTATCAATTAACGATAGGTGGCGCTTTTGTGTGATGTGCAATCTCAAACTCTTTTTGGCTGAGTAACGGGTATCTGATAGTCGAGCCCGTCGACTGCAGAGTTTTCTCTTGTGATTATATGGAGCAGTATTTGGGAGACCCCTTACATTGTCTAGTTCCAATCTTTTATTTTTTTTATTTTATGCTTCGAGTCTGTAAAAACTAAGAAATATATCTAAAAGACTTAAAGTCCCAAGTTCTCTAACAAATTTTCCATTTTAAATTTAATTTAATTAATTGTCTTGATGCATTAAAATTTAATTTGATTGTAAACTTAAAACTGTTAGATGTTTATGTTTTGGTGTTGCACATTTTTAGCTTTCTTTTTCGAATGACATTCGGTAACTTATTAACAAAAAAAGTTTTCAAGTTTATTACACCATATCAAGAGAAAAAA